CCACTGAGCCATCTCTCCAGCCCCTCCTTTTTATTTAGACAAAAGGGGGAAATGTGGGATATTTGTATACTGTGTGAAAACATTGCTATGACTGGTGTAATAAAAAGCTGGATGGCCAATAGTTAGGTAGGAGGTATAAGCATGATTTCTGGGCAGCGAAAGGAAGAGCAGGAAGATTCTAGGCATGTGGGAGATGCAAGGAGACACAGGGAGGAAAAAGGAGGTACAAGATAGGAGAGAGGTAACACCATGTGACAGAACATAATGATATAAATGGGTTAATATAAGCTATAAGAGCTAGTTAGGAATAAGTCTAAGCTAAGGCCGAGCTTTCATAATTAATAATAAGTCTCTGTGTCATTATTTGGGTGCTGACTGGTGGGCCAGAGAAAGACTTGCTACATCTCATCTAAAGAAAGCCACTGAGGCATGTGTCAGGGGTGTCCCTCAATGGAGGCCTAGTAGAGAGGAGACTGAGTGGAGCTGTGAAGTTCTTGAAGCCTAGATTGCTTTGGAGAACCCAAGATATTAGGGATGCCAGAGTCATAGGATCCCTGCCAAGGAAAGCTGCTAACAGGGAGTAGAACCAGCCCAAGAGAAAGAAGTGTGCTGCAGTCAACAAAGCTGGAGAGTTGGAGATCTGAAGATGCTTTGACGTCAGACATGGAGATGCAGAGCTTGGAGTTTGCTCAGCTGAATTTTGGTCTTGCTTTTACCCAGTATTTCCTCATGTTGCTCCTTTCCATGTGTTTTGTAATGGGCATACATATCCTCTGCCATTATATGTTGGAAGTATGTAATCTGTTTTTTTGATTTTCATTTTTACTGGGGGGATGACAGTTAAAAGATTGACATGTGCCTCACAAGAGACTTTGAACTTTTAAACAAGTTTGAGCCTATTATAGACTATGGAGACTTTGGAGTTGGGCTAAATGCCTTTTTTTTGTATTACAATATGGCTATAAGCTTTGCGGGCCAAGGAGTGGGATATGGTGGTTTGAAAGGAAATGACCCCCCCAAAGGGATTGGCACTATTAGGATATATGCCCTTGTTGGAGGAAGTATGTCACTGTAGGGTAGGCTTTGAGATCTCTTTTGCTCATGCTTCCCTCAGTGTGACTTTCAGTTGGCTTCCTGTTCCTGTGATGTAAGGACTCAACCCCAGTACCACATCTGCCTGCATGCCACCATGTTCTCTGTCATGATAATGGACTGAACTGTGGTCATGGTGTCCCGTCACAGCAGTAAAAACTCCACCTAACACAAACTTAAACACTGACCTTCAAGCAGACACCACACAGATACACCAAACTTCCACCAGACAGCAAACAGATATACCAACATACTACCAGACACCACTGATACACCATTATAGTACCAAACAATATAGACTCAACAAACTTCTACAAGATACCAATGCAGATACAGCAACATACTCCCAGACACCAGACATACCGACCTTCTACCAGAAACCAGATGCACAAAAATTTCATTATTGCCAGTTTTCCACCAGATATTACACAAATATACCAGCCTTCCACCAAACTCTACCACAGATACACCAACCTTCAACCAGACACCACACAGTTATAACCACCTTCTACCAGACACCACCACCATACACCAATATACTATCATACACCACAGATACACCAACATACTACCAGATATCACAGATACACCAACCTTTCACCAGATACCACACAGATACAACTAGCTTCTACCAGACACCGCCACAGATACACTAACCTTCCCCTAGACACCAGATACACCAATCTTGTATCAGAAACCACAGAGGCATACCATCATATTACCACACCACACAAAGATACACTAACCTTTTCAACAGACAGAACAAAGATACATCAACCTTCTACCAGATGACATCAGAGATATGCCAACATACTTCCATACATTATAGATATAACACACTACCAAACATCACAGAAACACCAACCTTCCACTAGAAACCATACCAACGTTCCACCAGAAACCAGATACATCAACCTTCCATGAGAAACCATACCAACCTTCCACCAGACACCACACAGATACACCAACATACTATCAGACGCTACACAGATACCCTAACTTTCCATCAAACATCACAGTAACCAAAGGTATACCAGCCTTTCACCAGACACCACACATACATCAGCCTTCTATGAGACACAACAGATATACAAACTTTCCACCTGATACCACATACACCAATCTTCCACCAGAAACCACAGAGACACACCATCTTACTACCAACACCACACAGACACACCAACCTTCAACCAGAAACCACATATACACCAACTATTCCACCAACACACACAGAGATGTATCACCTTCTACCAGACACCACCAGAGATACACCAACATACTTCCAGATACCAAACAGATTTATCAATCTTCCACCAGACACTATACAGATACACCAATCTTCTACCAGGCACGACAACAGATACACCAATCTTCCACTTGACACCACTATTGTTATACCAACTTTTCATGAGACACAACAGATACACCAACATTCCATCAGAAATCACAGAGATACACTATCAGGGAATACGTTCCTGAAACCACACAGATACATCAGCCTTCAACTAGACACTACAAATACACCATTCTTTCCACCAGATATATCAACCTTTTTACCAGACATCACCAGAGATAAACCAACATACTACCATACAGAACAGATACACCAAGGGTCCACCAGTAACCAGATAAACCCACCTTCCATTAGACACCAAAGATTGCATGCCAACCTCACACCAGAAACTACAGAGACACACCATCTTCACTGGTCTTCAACCAGAAACTCCATATACCCACAACCTTTCTAGCATAAAACACAGAATATCAACCTTCTACCAGACACCACCAGAGACACACCAATATACTGGTGTACACAACATACTTCCTGACACAACACAGACATACCAACCTTCCTGAAGGCACTGTAGATACACCACAGGGATACACCAACCTTCCATCAGAAACCAGACACACACACACCAACCCTGCACCAGACACCACAGATACACCAACCTTTCCACCAGAAACCGCAGAGACCATCATATTATCAGACACCACAAAGATACACACACCTTCAACCAGATACCACAAATTTACCAACCTTTCTAGCAGACACTATGTATATGACTTTTCACCAGACACCACCAGATACTCTAACCTTATACCAGACACTACAACTTCCCACCAGAAACCACAGATACACAAACCTTCCACTTGACACTCAACAGCTACACTAACAGCTACCAGACACCATACAGATACCCCAACCTTCCACAGTATACCACAGAAACAGCAGCCTTCCACCAGATACTACACAGATACCCCAGTCTTCCACAACACATCACAGACACACCAATTTTCCACCAGAGATACCCCAATCTTCCACAACAGTCTTCCACCAGACACTAAACAAATAGCCCAACCTCCTAAAACTACCAGAGTAGTTCATACATACATATACTAGTCTTCAACCAGACACTATACAGATACACCAACCTTCTACCAAACACCACCACAGACACACCAGCCTTCAACAACAACCCACAGATACACCACCCTTTTACCTACACTACAGACATCCCAACACACTGCCACTTACTACTGATATAATAACCTTCTACAGATGCGACCACAGACATACCAATATGGTAAAAGACCCCACAGATACAGCCATCTTCCACAAGTCACCACAGATACATACTATGAGACATGATAGATACACCAACCTTCTACCAGACAGCACATACTCTAACTTCCCCCAAACACTACCACAGATACATCAACCTTCCACCAGACACCATATAGATTACCAAAAATACTACCAGACATCATAAAGATACAAAAACCTTCCACCAGATACCACAAATATATCAACTGTCTATTCGAAACAGGAGACACACAAACCTTCGACTCTACACCAAATAGATACATTAAAACACTACCAGACACCACAGATACACCAATCTTCCACAATACATCACAGACATACCAGCCTTCCTCCAGACACTATACAGACATACCAACTTTGTACCCAACAACACACAATTAAACCAACCCACTAACAGACACCAAAAATGTACCAATCTTCCACAATACACAACTGATACACCAACCTTTTACTAGATACCACAGATACACCTGTGTTTCACCAGACACCACATAGATACACCAAGCTTCTACCAAACACAAACCTCCCATCAGAAACCATAGATATAACAACCTTCCACCAGACATCACAGACACTCCAAACTTTTACTAGACACCACCACAGATACAACATACTACCAGACACCACAGACAAACCACCATTCCAGGAGGCACACAGACAAACCAACCTTCTACCATATACCACCTAGATACAGCATCATACTAACAAACACTACTCAGATAACACCATTCTTCAACCACACACCAACAGAGATACACCAACATCCTACCACACAGCACAGATACACGAACATTCTACTAGAAAACACATATATCAACCTTCAGCCAATACCACACATACACACCAACCAACCTTCAACCAGACACCACAGAAACACCAGCATTCCTCCAGACGGCACAAAGATAAACCAAGATACTATAAGACACCATACAGATTCACTATCATCTACAGACAACAAAGATATACCAACCTTCCACCAGACACCACAGAAACACCAGTCTTCTGCCAGGCACTACAGATACACCAATGTTCAGCAGACACCACACAGATACTCCAACCTTTTACTAGACAGGAACTAGTCACCCCAATCTTTTGGAACTCTATCCCTCAGCCTGTTAGGAATGCCTTTGGAATAAGTGGCTAGAGTGATGTGAAGGGCGGTGGGTGTGGTACATATAACCAGAAATTGCAGTACTTGGCTGAATTCATATTTGGGTTAAACTTGAAGAAAACATCTCAACCAAAATAAAAGAATTGTGTTGAATATTGTTGAAGAGAAAAAGCACCAGAGTCTAAATCATGCATCTGTAAACATAGCATTTTATTAACGAAATGTTTACACCTCTCCTGACATAAATCTTGTAGTGATGGAGCATGCCATACTCTATAAAAGCATACAATACAAGTCAAGCTGAAGAAACTCTGTTCCAAAGGATGCCAGATTTACCATCTGCAAACAGGTCACAAAAGAAAAATCTTACAACGAGAAGGAAAAGGCGGAGTTTCCTTTCTTCAACGTTTACAAACAAAACATAGACTTAGGCCCAGCCTAAGGTCAGACTGCAAAAATGGTCATCAAACATCCATACAGGCTTGTGAAGCCACGGCTTTTCATTCAGGCGTTTAGAGTGTTACCAGGCTTGGGAAACCAGGAACAATTCGATTTTCATACAGATGCTATTAAAAAAGGCACAGGGCGCTACTCCTTCCACTGGGTCTTGACAAGGGGTGGCACTCTCAGGAGCAGAAAGGATTGCTGGTACAGGGCTTAGGTTTTCTTTCCTTCAAACTTTGTGCAGCTGATTCTCCAGTCCACCACCCTATCACCCACAACAGATCCCATTCCGTCATTCAGTTGTGTTTGCCTTGCAGGCTCATGCTGCCTACTGCCCTTTTGGAAGTCCTGGGGGCTCTTTACCCCACAGGGAAGGGCATACCATACATGCCAAGATTGCTGGGGCAGGGTGCCTGAGGGAGAGCCCACAGAAAATGAGAGTAAGGCAAGAATTCAGTGTCAATCATAAGGAAAACAGGCCATAATTTCTGAAGGTCAGAGCAGTGATGGATGATGGTATAAGTGACTTGTGATGTAAAATGATGGAAAGACTGAGTGGGACATTAAAAAAAAAAAAAAAGATCCTTCCCAGGGCAATAAAGTTATGTCTACAGAACACAACCAATGGTTTAAAAACAGAGCCGCATCAGCTGCTGATGACCCAGCTGCCACTCATCATCCCCCACCAATCTAACTGGTCTCTCTGACATCGTGGGGGAATGACCCAAGTTGAGAAAATTTCCTGACCATGTAGTAACAACAAAAAGGGATTTGGGGGGCGGGGGCTCCATCCTTGCTTCCAAGCTTTTCCAAGGGGTGAAATGGATAATTGAAGTGTAAATGCCAAGTGTTAATGGTGGTCAAACAATGTTAAGACAAGCCCTAAAAGCAAACAGTATAATGGGCAGAGTCTGGCAGTGATCTGGAGCTGGCGAGCATGGGGAGGACTCCAGGCTGGCTGAGCAAGTAATTGAAGCCCAGCTTTGTGGAGCAGTGGATGAAGCACACACTGGGTTTTAGATGCTTTGGGGGCCTCCTTGACAATGTTACAGTTAGTTCTATGTAAAGATGAATCCCTTCAGTGGACTGCCGTCCACAACCTGCCTCTAAACACTATCAAGTTCCTGAATCAAGAAGTGGCATGAGGAAAGCAGCAGGCCATTTCTACTGTGCGATTAAGGAGGACATTAAGACCCACGCTTGAAAACTGTCAATTAAAGAAGGCTCTAAAAAAGTCATTACTGTCTTAGACTCCCCATTAATTGGGAGACAGAGCTTGGCACTTAAGTCGTGTCTGTGGAGACCTACCCGGGTTTTTGCTTGTTGTAATTATGCAGCATTTTGATGAGGCACTGGGCACCATAAAATGAACTCACAGCAAATTAAAACATTTTTTTCCTGCAAGTTTTTTGGACATTATGGTTTCAATCTTACCATCTACTATTTATATATTCTAATCTTGCTATCTAAAACGTTCAACATAATGAAAGGAATCGATGGAAGGTCTGAGATTCTATTTTATTAAACTTCTGAATCCTTTTGTTTTGAAGCCAAAAATATTCTAGCACATCTCTAATTGATTACCCTCCGAGAGGAAAGAACACAGATATTAGTTATTTCTGATGGTACAGACCATCAAATTAAACTTGATCTATGCTGGTGGAAGTCCTAGCTCCAGATAGTAAATCACTCCTACATGCTCGGAGCATTCTGAAGGACGAGCTGAGAAATACAGTGATTCCAAGCTCTATTCATTTGCCCTTCTCAGCATGTCTAATGAACTTCATCAGTGTAGGCCCCTCACTCATCACCTTCTGAGGTGCAGAAGGAAGGCTCCTGAGAAGGGTAATACCCTTCTAATATATTTTAGAGCTTCATTTGCACATAAAACAGGACAAATGCCCTGGAATTCCATTAACATTTCTTGCAAATCAGATAATCAGATTGCCTGGTTTTCTATCTCTGGACATGACTTCTGCCGTCACAGGAAATCTGTCGCGGTCATTCTTTTAAGTCTCAGGCTAAATTCTACCTGACTCTCCTTTTCCTAAACTGCACAGTGCTCTGTTTGTCTTCTAGATAATGTACTGCACAGAACATTTTTTAAACATTATGACACGTGTGTGTGTGTGTGTGTGTGTGTGTGTGTGTGTGTGTGTGTGTGTAGTGTGGGAGGACATGTGGAGATCAGAGGACGACCTGTGGCATTCTTCTCCTTCTACTATGTGGGTTCCAGGGATTGACTTGTGTCATCAGCCTTAGCAGCAAGTGCCTTTACCTGCCGAGCTAGCTCATCAACCTCATTAAAAAAAAAAAAAAAAATCAAAATCATTCATGGGTTGTCTTAAACCAACATCTTTTATCATCAACCCCCCCCCCCCATGAAGGCATAGTTAACAGCTTGAATCTTAAAAGTATATCCCATTTCTTCCTTAAAAACTGATAAAATCAAACAATGAACAAAAATTGTGCTGCTTGTCCCTTCAAAATAAATTTAAGTAAGAACTTACAAGGGATTCCATAACCACTCTGCCCTCACCCGAATCAGGCTGAAGAGCCTGGTAAGTTCTGTGATCCAAGCCACCTGTCTGGCTGAAGCACGACTGGCGGTTAGAGAAGAGCTAAGGGTTCCCAGCTACCTTTCCTCAGGAGGATTCTCTCCTGACTCCTGCAGGGTCTTGCAGACACATGGGTGGCTAAGGCTAGTTGCAGAGATCACATAGTCTGAGGGTCCACATGTCACAGTCTCTGAATGAATAGGTGAGAAATGTTGAACGGAACCCCATTAGCCTCTTTTGCAATAGAAAAGACAGAAGGCAACGAACCATTGCCTTTTGGGACATGGAGGCCTATATACTGACACGCAGTGTACCCCAAACTGAACCCACCCACTCAAACATGGGAACCTTGAAATACAGCAGCAGACCCTTGGGTTTGGCAGCCCCCTGGGTGCCGGGTGACAGCAACCTACAGAACACTCTCAGCTGTATATCTTAAGAGCTTTAAAAGTCCTCAAACCCACTTTCCCCCTGGAGACAAGGAACAGATGTAAGACTTATAGATTAAATGTGGGTCACTGTCAGCCCCCATCACATATTTAACAATCCAGAGAACAGCTAATCTTCACAATGATACTGGCCTCTTGATATAACCATGTCTCTCATAAGAAAATCTTGATCCTTTGACCTGGGTAGGCATCCAAGGAAGAGGAGCACAATGAGAAGAGGTGGGCACTTCAAATATCATCATAAATGGGGAACAAGGACCCAGGTTATTTTAAAAGGAATAAATCTCCCGACTGCCATGTACAGTGCTTGTCTTGGCTGAAGCTGACAAGCAGGCAATGGAATTTCATTGGGAACCAGAAGGGCTTGCAGTTGGTATTTCTCTCCAATCACTTCTCACAGAGTTTACACTGAAGGACACTTAATCAGACTCTCACTTTATGTTCTTCTAATCACCAAATGATAGTTAATTAGTTATCACAGAATCAGAAAAACACTTATGTAAAAGAAGAGATCGAGAGACCAGTGGCTCCTAGGATTGGACACCTGCAAGGAGCTTATTTCAATTTCTCTGAAAGAAATCAATACACACTGGCAGTTAATTAAAGATCTTGCCCCTTCTGTTCAGTCTTCAAAGTTTTTAAAAATGGCCCTGCATCATTTGGAACCAAATTTTTTTTTGGGGGGGAGGAACAATGTCTCAATGCCTTTGGAGTCTGGCTATTTCTCTTAAGAAACAACCAGGAGACAATGTGGTCAGAATAAAGCACTATGTCTGCCTACATTTTAATATACATTTTATAGGAAGAAAGAACATGGAGACCTCCCTGTGTTCACTGACCATGGAGTGTGGGCCCAGCTGCAATGCACTGCCATTGAGCAGTACACGCCACCACAGGCAGGGCAGCCCCTTCATTTCTTGGGCAGACTGGAGTCATGCTGCTCAATCTGTTGGGAAGACATGCAGCCATGGCCAGAGCCACTCCCTTCATGTGGTATGAGGGAATCAGCTAGAGAAGTCACATGTGCCACAGGAGAGCAGTCACTGCATGCCCCACGACTTCCAGAATGTACTGGACTGTTCAGGTCATGAATTTATACCATCTTTTGGTGAAATGAGACAGAAAGGGTCTCACATGGGCAGCCTCGTCCACATGAGCTGAGCAGTGCTGTTTCCTGCAGGTGTATGTCAAGTGGTATCAAGCCACTGCAGGTGGAAGCAGCTCAGTCTTGGGAAATCACAGGATTTTCTCCTGTGTGAGAATTTAATGCTGTGCAGGAGGCTCAGGAATGAGGTGACACTGAGTCCACACGAGGCGCTCCCAGTCTGACTTGAGTAAGAGTAAACAACTGAGACGCTCACGAGGCCTCACCCAGGTCTGTGTCATCTGGGCTGCCCTTTTGCTAAAACCTCTCCATGTGAAGCATGTATGGGAGGGCGCAAAGTAGTAACAGTTGTTTTGAAAAGTTTTGACTGTTCAGTTAAGGACAGCTCTGAAAACACAATTTGGTTTGAGATTCAAGCTGTTTCATTTCCTATTTAATCTTGTAAATTTCCTTCCCTCACAATACTTGGGCTGGAAGGGTGCCAAATTAGACCAGGAACAAATTTCCAGCAGTTTCACTTGGGGGCTTTATTTTTAGATTATATTAAGAACCTCATTAGGCTCCTGAGGGAAAAGAGTGCAAAGCACTAGTAGAGGCAAGAGAGAATAAAGGAGGTGAGGCGAACTGGCTGTTATATGCAAAGCACTGTCAACAGAGTTGGTCTGAGCTCCCTACTGCTAAGGCCAGGTGAGTGCTGGGTGCTAGGCTCTCACTTGCCCCCAGGCTAGCAAGGACTGGTCGGCTTGTCACGGAGACATGTGTCTTTATTACCATTTCCAGATGGGATGCAGAAGGGCAAGGGGAGGAGGAAGGAGCTGTGAGCTAAGTGCTCCATGCTTTTGCACAAGGTGAATGCGCTTCAAAATCTCCTGTGGACTGGCTGAAAAATGAGTGGGTGCATGACTAAATGGAGTACTAAATGTGGAATTCAAAAGTTATTAATGTATTTACATAATTTATAATTTTAAGTAATGTTCTCATAAATATAGACTACAAATGTACATATGCTAGGCAGCACACATTTGTTTTTGTTTTTTCCACCAAATACCTGGACCAAAAACCAAAAAAATCATTTCCTTTGTTCTTTCTCTCTTCCTTTTAAAGCACTGCTCATCTCAACTGGCTCCAGGTAGCATCTCTACACCATCACCTGGACCATGAGAGCTTACTGAGAAAGGTAACGATAAAACTAATGTGTGGTGACACATACAGGGTCCGAAGGAAACCCGAGGTGAACCAGGCCGCCGCCGCCGTGGTGTTAATTTACTGTGTATGAAAGTGCTTGAGAGATGGTGGAAACTGTTCCAGGGCCAACCGTCCCTCCACTTGTGATCATTTTCCACATCTTAAATGATGCGACTCTGACACTAACAACAAGGACCAAGGAGATGGCCATCTCCACAGCGTTTTCCCTTAAGATCCATAAAAGTGCTTGTTTCCCTTTACAAATGATACACGACATCCTGATTACAAAAGTACCTGCAGTTCAGTCCTACCATCCATACATCAGATGCTCCTTTCAGCTAGTCAGCAGCCAAGGATGTGGTCCCTTTGCACATCAGAGTCCGCGACACAAGTCTGCAGTTAGAAACACCTGCTGCAGTCTTCCAAGAGTACCCAACAGCCAGTTCCTCTGAGTCCTTTTTGCATGAAGAAGACTCCAGGGCACGAGGCAGCTGCCAATGGCAGTGACTGGCCCTCCTGCAACATCCAGGACCACTTGCTTCTTCATTAGTGTGGGGCCCCGAGTCGTCAGCAGCAGCTTCGCTTTGGCTCCGATGGCTGTCTTCGGAGTTTGAAGCCCTTGCCGCCAGACGGCGGGTTGGCATCTGTGGATGGAATTCTTCGGCCTACACCAAAGAGAGAAGAGAGGGAAGGAGAGGAGGCACAAGCTTTGATTTCCTAACCTGTTCCTTCTCATACACAATTTTAGCAAAGCAACATGTCAGTTTCATTGAGGTAAGACAAGGAAGATGACAGGGACAGAGTGGGCCTATTCACAGTGACCCAGCATCACCTAACCCTGATTCTACAAGACACCTGTCACAGTGAACAAACACTGCTATGGCACCAGAAGTCACCAGTCTTTTAGATGTCACTAGTTCTTAAACTAATATCTTCTATTCCAGGATCCAAATAAGAATAAACAGCATTTAGTAAGCTTTTTAAATACAAAAATTAGACTAAAAACATTTTCTCTTGAGCCAGTAAACAAACACACCTAAGAACAAAAACAAAAGACAACCAACAAGCTTGGTTTCATGTCTCATGGCAGAAGTCATCACAGGCATGTGGACACTCCCAGATGTACTCAGCTCCTTTGCCCTCAGGATGGTCCCTCACAGAACACAGTGGGCTGCTGTGTCTCTGAATGGTTGAGCATCTGCACTGTCTCTAGCGATCATCATCAATCCCCAGGATGTCAGTGTTTTGAGCAACTGTGTGTGTGTGGGGACTAAGAAACTGGAATAGAGGAGCCAGGGCACTGTTCCACTCCTGAGCGTGTATCTGTCACATGCAAACTCCCAGTGACTACCTACCGCAATTTAGCTTTTGACAGAGCTGCCAAGTTGCTCTCAGAAGAGGCTGTGGCATTTTATCATCGACAACAACGTAGGAGAGGGACAGGCTTCACTTTACTGCTCTGTGAGGTTAATGTCAATTTTGAGAAAAGCTTCAATCACCATCCACCCACCTGGCTGACATGGCTCAAGGCTGCTTCTTGTACAAAGGCATTCCTGCCCTCCTCCTCCTGCTCTATTCTAACCCTCACATATCACAAAACACCAAGACATCAGCAACATGCTGGACTTGTTTTCTGTGTGACTGGCATCCTCGTACGAGACTGGGCCCTCCAATCTTGCCTGTTTTCTGCTCTGGCACCCTCTGATCTCTGTGGCATAGCATTAGGCAGAGAAAGGCTTTCTGTCTGCTTGTTTAAAGAGGGAATTAACAGACAGGAACATCTGACATCAGCAAGGCTGAGAGAAAAATTCCTGACAATCCTCTGGGTGTGGCTGCAGAATCTTGAGGGCTCCCCACCATGGGCGGTAACCTGTGTAGACAGCACACAGTGTGACTTCCACATGGACTGTCCAAATGTGCTGTGAATAAATCACCAATGTAGTTAAGGCTCTCCAAGACCCGTGTTATTATGGTTTTCTCAATAAACGGAAACTGAAATATAGCTGGTACCACAGAGGCAATTGTGAAATGTGACAGAAGATTTTCAAATGGGACAAAGTGATTTAGAAGAAAGCAGGAGACAGCTTGATGGTCTGGGCACGACCAATGGTTTCTTAAGCAGGAACTATGATGAGTATAAAGGAAAGTGAGTACAAAGGGACTCTGGGTAAGGTTAAGAAGCTCAGTCCATTGAAGAATTGGTTCAGAAATCAAAGTCAAATCTAAGGGAAGATATTTCCAACACACATAACCAACCAGGGACTGGACATCCAGAGTGAAGTACAAGTCATTAGGAAGGGGGGTGGTGACTCGGTAGAGGCAGGCAAGAGATTAAGAACTCTGAAGAAGAGGATGCCAGCTACTGTCCAGGTGGAAATCTGTATGCGGACAGGCGCTCAGCTTCAAAGCAGACACGGAGATTCAGACCCTGCCTCTCCCACAGACTGACAGGGAAGAAATCTTGTACACCACTGCTGTGGGCAGCAGCTGGCACAAGTACAACTTTGCAAACTGTTTGGCAGTAAAGTCACAGTGAACACATGCAAACCTAATGACCCAGCCATTTTTCTCTTGGGCACAGAGATACTGAGCAAAAAATGCATCCAGATGTTCCCCAGAGGACACAGGATGTTCATACAGCAGTCTGAAATTGCCCTAAGTTGGAAACAACTGCCCAATGTCTGTCAACAACAGAAGGGACAATTATACAGTAAACAGTATCCATTTCTTCATTTTCCAACTTTGTGATCTGACACTAACATACACTAGCATTGTGAATGCGTCTTTTGCAGCTGTATGGGATGTACAGACAATTTAAACATGTGATATAGAGTAGCAGCCAGACACAGAAGAGTAAATAGGGTGGTCAGTTGGCAGAATGCCTGCTTAGCATATGTGAGTTCAATTCCCAGCACCGAACAGGCAGGGTGGCGCCAGTATATTCTAGGGTGAGAAGGGAGAGAAAGGAGGTCATCCAAATCATGCTCGTCATCAGTCACAGAAGATGGAGACGGGAGGACAAGAGAGGAAACAGAGTAATAGAGTGCTGCCACAGCATTTAATCTCAGCACGGGGGAAGCAGAAGCAGCAGATTTCTGAGTTCAAGGCCATATTGGCCTACAAATAGAGTTCCAGGGCAGCCTGGACTACATAGTGATAGCTTGTCTCAAAAAATAAAACAAGGGGGCTGGAGAGACAGCTCAGTGGTTAAGAGCATTGCCTGATCTTCCAAAGGTCCTGAGTTCAATTCCCAGCCACCACATGGTAGCTCACAACCATCTGTAATGAGGTCTGGCACCCTCTTCTGGCCTGCAGACATACACACAGACAGAATATTGTATACATAATAAATAAATATTTTAAAAAAATAAAAAATAAAACAAACAAAAGCACCCGAAGTCGGCTATCAGGATGGGTTACCCATGGGGTGGCAGCAGCTGCACTTCCCGGAGTGTAGAGCACAGGCTTTGTTCTTTCTGAGACAACCTGGGAGTACCTCTGTGCTTCTGAAACTGCCCTTTCCTATATGCACATTATGCTTCAACCCAAGGTTCGTGTCTAGGCATAAGTTACTGACAATACTCACTGAACAAAAAATAAAGATGATTTCTAACTCTGTCTGGTTTCCATCTCTGTGGTCATGTTCAATTCTTCTCAGTTACAAGTATGCACTAGGTCTCTGCAGTGCTGGCAATGTCAGGGAAGTCACTATCACAGCGCTGCACCCTGTTTGTGTACATTCTGGCATAAGGATTTGTTGCTCGTAAACCTGTTTATTTTTAAAATTGCTATGGTACAGAGAAAGAACCCACAACAAAACCAATAGTCTCAACACACGGCACACTGTCCTGACAGACCTGGCTACCTGTTAGCTATGAGCACCATGTCTACCCCTGGAATGAAGAGAAATGCTTGAGTCTGCCATGGACTCTGAAAAGGTTTAAATTAGTGGTCAACCGAAACAATGGAACACATGCATAAAAACCCAGATCTCTGAGCATCTAACCCATCACAGTACTAGATGTGTGGACTCAGACTTGTCAATTCTCGAACTTTGGAGGCTGAGGAAGGGGACTGCTGTGAGGTCAAACCTGGGCTATAGAGTGAGACTCTGAGCCCCTGCCTCATAAAGGAAATACAAAATGAGAACAAAGCATGCCTAATCTCTAGAACCCAGGGTGACCCCAACTACTGCAACTGATTGGTCCAGCCCATGGGGGACCACTTCTGCTCCCTTTGGGCAGTCCCTGAATGGATCTGGGGGGGGTCTTGTAATTCATGACTTTCACCTTCACCAAGGTCAAGAGCTCTTATAGCTTCTAGCTACTTTGGATTTCAACCTAAGGGCAGTTAATAAATGCTTGGATGGGTGCTCCCTTCATTTGGGAGCTGACTATGCTCTGTGAAAGCAAGTTATTTAGCTTGAGGCCCGTACTGTCAGGCCTCAGCCCCCATCCCACTGCCTCAGAGTCCTTCATCAGGCCTCAGCTTCCAACTCTCTTCCCCAGAGGGGCTTTCTTGGACACCTTGCACACACATGCTTACATCTATCTCATTGCTTTCTTCATGTCTCTTATTATTATGTGAAATGATCCTATTTATCTGGAGTTCACTGCCTGACTCGCTCAACAGAACAAGCATTCTAGGAGAGCAAGGGCTGTGTCTATCTTCTTTAGACTGGCTCCCTTGAGTCTGGAACAGTTCCCAATAAATATTTTGATGAATCTGAATGAAATGAATAAACACAGAACCAATCTGCAGAGAATCCCAAAGGTACCAAGCAGCTTATCTCACCCACTGTCAACATGCTAACACTCTGAAGGAGGAGAAGGGGAGTGGGCTGACCCTTCCCTTGCCAAGGACTAAGTTTGTGGGTTTTCTTACAGACAGACAATACCCACATTGCATCCCCCTTGAGCTATTTTTTTCTCTTCTAGAAATCTTTATTATTTTTAATCCTGTGTATATCTGTGTATAGCCATGAACAAACAAGTTCAGCTGAGTTCAGAGGCTGGAAGTGTTGGGCCCCCTGGGGCAGGGAATCCCAGTGTGGTGCCGGGAATGCACTCAGGTCCTCTGGAAGAACAGTGTATGCTCCTCCTTGCTAAGCCGACTCTCCAGATTATTCTGTTCATTTCTGATGGCCTTGGATGAACAACGTTTACAAGAGGAGAGAGGAAAGCAGTTTTGACACTGAGAGGCATCCTTTCTGGAAAGGCACTATCTACCAAGCAACATCTCTCCAGAAACCCCACTGCAACAGAGACTCTGGCTGTCCTCATCTGCTCAAATCTCCTTTCAACGACACAATCTCAGAGACTACTTCAAACAAGTTGGGTTCTAACCAAAAAGAAAATTCTGTTTTTGTTTGCCCTGAACAGAGGAAACCCCCAAAATGCAGGGATACTTACTAATTTCTATAAAGAGTTCATTTATGTTTATTGCATTTTTTGCGCTGGTCTCTACAAAGATGGCATGAATGGAATCAGCGTAGTCCTTAGCATCTCTCTCCATGACTTCTCTGGAAGGCAACAATTGCTAATCAGAGGGTCTGTCCCTTAAGACCTTCCCCTCACCCCACCCCTACAGAAGGATCATCCATGGCATGAGCCCAGACAGTCCTTCCAGTTACATGATTTTTGTGACAAGGTTTTCTCCAACCCCTAGATTAAAAAGCCCTCCCCCTCAACAAAACAAGGTCCCTGCTCTGGGAATCAAATGTGTGGTGCACTGAAACAACCAATAAAATGCACTTTTTGTATTCTATTACTCTGTGTCATAGCAGCCTGAGAGGCAATGATCTCAGATAATGTCATATGTGATACCACTAAGGTTTGAGTAAATTACACGCCTGTCTACATGTAATATAATTAACTCCAAATGTCTTTAGTCTTCATTTTAGCTTGAAACTTCAGGGCCAACCACATAACACAAGACATTTTTCAATGTCAAAGATAAAATAAAAGCTAGACTCTTACCATGGATGTGGCTCATTAGAAAAAGAACATGTAATCGGTATGGGAATCTCTTGTCTAATAACTCACCTGACGTCGGTAAGATCGCATTTGTTCCCAGCAATGGCAACAACAATGCTAGGGGGGCCATGCTGGCGGAGCTCTCTCACCCAGTTCTTGAGCGTTGAAAACGTCTCCTGCAACATGAAAGGAGAGTAGCTAGAGGCCTGAGCAATAAATGATGGTGTCTAAGAATAAATGAATAAAAAGTCTTACTTCTTTTGTGATGTCATAAACGATGATAGCTGCTGCTGACCCTCGATAGTACATCGGTGCCAATGCACGAAACTGCAGAGGGGAAAGAAGCAATGAAACTGCGACAGCCAGTTAAGGATGTCCTCTTAGCAGACTTTGAAGTCCATTATCCCTGCACAAAAGGTAATCTTTCTCTGAAGTCACAGAAGATGACATAATGCTTCAGAGCAAACAAACCTGTAATTACTAAAGGCCAAGACTGATGGTAGTGCTGGAATGTCCCAGAAGATAGTCTAGAAAACAGCTTTACAGGAATTGAATATGGGACTATAAACAATTGTTTCAGCTAAGAAAGCTTTTTAATTGAACTCAATATTATATTCCCCAAATTCATTTGTTTAATAGTCTTTTAAACTTTGGTTTCCCAAACTAAGGAGATAAAAACACTGCTATAGCCATAGCGGTCGAGGATACCACAGGAAGGCACACACAATTAACTAATCTGAGATCATAAGGGCTCACAGAGACTGAACGGACAACCAGGGAGACTGACCTTGGCACTCTGTATATATGTTATAGCGGTGTAGCTTGATCCTCTGTGGGACTAACAGTGGCAGCAGGGTTGTCTCTTTTAATGGCTTTTGGGACCCTACTCCTCATACTGGGTCATCTTGGCCAGTCTTAACACATGGGGAGGTACTTAGTCTTACTGCAACTTGATATGCCATGTTTTATTGATACTCATAGGAGACCTGCCCTTGTCTGGATGGAGAAAGAAGAGGGGGTTTGGGAGTAGGAGTGGGGTGGGGTGAGAGGGTCTGGGAGGGGAGGATGGGGAGGCTGCTGCCGGGCTGTAAAATAAATAGATGAATTAAAAAACAAAACAACCCCCCGCCCCGAACCCACTGCTGTAAACAGTTTTTCTAGACATGAATGCACATTTGAATTTACTAGAGTGAGTGTGCAACTTGCTTTTCTGACATCTGCATGCATATGTCTCACTGCATTCCAAGTGTCATATTGCAAGCAGTTTCTGCTTCCTCTCCCCACACACTAGAGAGGGACTTAGGGAAAGGCTTACCCTCAGGCCATTTCCTTGGAGGAGTTTGGGATAGAAAATGTGAAGCTCTTTCCTCAGTCAAATCAGGGTCTTGGCCAAATGTTCTAGTGTGGCTTCCCCCCATCAAGTGTCATGTCTTCATCTTATACCCTGACTTTGAAATCTAGTACCCAAGAGTGATACAAAGTTCCTGTACTGTATCCTGATCCCTTTGCAGTGGTTGGCTGGCAGATACTATCCTCAGAGAGCACGGGGTATACATGAGAATACATACAGCCTGCTTGTGACACTCGAATGTCTGAGTTCACAGTCAACCTTCTGATAAAGTAGTGATATTCTAACTGGAACGTCCATGAGGGAAGACGTCATGACTGCTAGGGCCTGGAATGGATCTCATGCACTACAGCATAACCAAGAGCTACAAGCCAGTTCAGTCCTTTCTGCCCGACACACATTTAAATTGTTGGACTGACTTACACAGTGAAAGAGAATGAGACAGTGGCATGTAGGTAGAACTAGGATCAAGGCCTTAGCTGCCTCACTATGGATGTACTTGTGGTGGCAACCTCCTTTAGAGGGTCATTTCTTTCTCTACAGTTTTGTAAGGAGAAATTCACACCAAGAAAAGCAGATTGCAAGTCTATAATGTGTAAGCCAACAAATGTAAATCCCCTTGTACATCACAAAGACAAAGCATTTCTGTCAACACAGACAATTCCCAAGATCTCTAACCTTGATAATACTTGCCCTCGAGTCCATCTGCAGATGGAACACAGCCACAGTATTGTTTTTTTCCCTTTGTGCTTATAATCTGCATAGAATACCCTTTTCTATTCTCCTATTTTCTCTTCTCTGTAGAGGTGTGTACATTTCTTTAAGCACCATTGCTAAGGTCTGTCACGTGGCAGTTCTGCCACCTCTGCCTGCTCAGTGGGGTGCTTGGTCCTTTCACAACTAAGAAAATACGCTGTGTCTGGACACAGGTCTAGGGCTTTGCTGCAAATTTGTTCAAAATTTAAAAAATGCTCATCCTTCCTTTCTTCCTTTCTCTGCAGTGACTAAGTTTTAGTACCCCTAACTGGTTTCAAATTCCTGATGTTGCCAAGGATAACCTTAAACTGCTGACACTCCCATCTCAATCTCCTGAGTGAAGGGCTCCTGGCTTATGTAGTGCTGGGAATCAAACTCTGGGTTTACTGGGCCTGGTCCCAGCCCCCTTCTCCTAGCTTTTTACTATACTTTTATGCATTATTTATTAGGTGGTTGTTCTTACAAATACGATATAAGTTTTTTTCTTAATACACTTCTAATTTAAATGTATTAAATGTATGCTTCCTATAAAACATCAGAATCTTAAGTGAATCTAACCTTGCCTATTAGAACCTTATATAAATTTAACCTTGTCTACTTCACCATTCTTTGGCTGCTGTTGCTAAATGCTTGAAATGCACAAACTGCTGAGTGAAATAACCAGAGTTGAGAAGAAAAAAAAATATGCTCTTTACCCTCTATCACCTGTACTGCTTATTCTTTCTTTCTCTCTTTTTTTCAAGACAGGGTTTCTCTGTAGCTTTGGTGCCTGACCTGGAACTAGCTCTTGTAGACCAGGCTAGCCTTGAACTCACAGAGATCTTCTTGCCTCTGCCTCCCGAGTGCTGGGATTAAAGGCGTGCGCCACCACTGCTCAGTTCATTATTTATTTCTGTAGGATATGAGTGGCCACTCTGACTGTTACTACTGAACTCTCTGCTTCCACTTTTTCTAAGACTACTTTGATTTTGTATCTGGAAAACGATCTAGGCAGACTGACTTGTTTGCATGCCCACAGCATGCTAAAGAGTCTGTCTATTGGCCTGCCTCACTGCTTCTGTAAGAAGTCACCCCATTCCTACTGTTCTCCTGTATACAATATATCTCTGGCTATTTGAGGATTTTTCTTGTCATCTTTACTTTTTGGCAGTTTAACTAGGGTCCTAGTTGTACTTAAAGATTTACTGAAACTCTTAGATTTGAGAGTAGATGTCTCATTAAACACTGGAAGAGTTCAGTCATCAATTACGGAAATATTGTCTTTAACCTGTACCCCTTCTTCATTCCTTCTGGGTGCCAGCTCTGTTTTACTCGGCCAACTATATCCACAGGCTGTTGAGACTTTTCTGGCTTCTCCTCCTCTGGTTCCCAAATGATCTGTTGTACTGTCCACTCAGTCACCTTTGCTTCCTGACAGCGTGGCTTTCAATCTTGGTATTTTCATCATATACTTCATGAACCTCCTTTCTGCATAAGCTTCCCATCTGTAGTCAATCTGCCATTCTTTGAACCTTTGGACATACTTAAAGGTATATTTTAAATTCTATGGCTGTATATTTTCATCGCAGGGTCATCCTCTGTTCTCATTTCTCCATATATGTAACAATTACAATGGCACTCTGGCCATGTCTCCCACACTGCCGTTTTGAAGAGCGGTAACTCTTATCACTTCAGCTGATTTTGTGCACTGCTAGGATGGCTCTATGTGGGTTGGTTCCAGGACATTGTCTCTCCTCTGACTAAGATGCTTCATCAAAATGCATCACATCAAGGAGTTAATCAACACCCTCTAATGTGGCAGACTGGGTTTAAACTCCAGTGCTGCTGTAAGAAGCACCAGTGAGTCTCTGCTCAGTCTGGTCATCCTGCTGATTTCTGTTGGGTTTTGCAATGTCCTCTCTGCATATTCACTTAGGCATGAGTGGGGCTTCTCAAAAGACATGAGGGTTCTCTTTTCTGGGATGTGTCTTCCCAGGCTTTGTTGATCTTGTCTAGTGCCCTAGCACTCTCAGACAACATCTTTCTGTATCGTAATCTTAGAGACTTTTTTTTTTTTTTTTGAGACAGGGTTTCTCTGTGTAACTTTGGCTGGCCTCAAACTCAGAGATCCACCTGCCTCTGCCTCCCAAGTGCTGGGACTAAAGGCATGCGCCGCCACCACCCGGCATAAAGATATTTTCTGCTCAGCTCCTTGCTACTCTGTGGCACATTCTAACTGGGCGTGCCTGTGAGGCCTGGATTATGACCTTGCGATGCTGCTTCAGCCTTAGTTACTAGTTGTTTGGCAGCACTTTCAAAAGGCTACTTGTACAGTCTCATCCAACATTTACAAGCCAGGGTGGCCATTCTGGGTGACACCCCTGATACTGACTTGGAAAGTCTCCCATATTGTTCTGGTGAAGAAAGAAGATGGACACATAAGAAGAATCCAAATATGTCATCACATCTGTACCTCAAATCTGGCTCTAGATTAGGGGACAGCAATCATTCGCTGTTGAGGACCAGACAAGAAATAGCTTTAGCTCTGTGGCCCTCTGTTTTGTGTTATAGTATTATTGTATTTTTGGACCAGGATTACTGTAGAGTAAAGCACAGACAAAAATGAACAGATAAGCATGCCCACGTTCCAATAAAACTTTATTTATAAGAGCGGATGGTTGGTTCTGGCAGTCCCAGCTCTGGATGCTCTTAAGCTGTCCTTGTCCCAATTTAAGCACTAACAACAACTGCTTATTATGAACACTGCGAGAACTGATAAGACTTCATGCTGTTCTGACCTTTGTGGAACAGTAAGGCAGAACAAGTACAGGAAAACACAGGGTTGTAAAATGGTTGTTAGAGGTGTGGCTGAGAAGCCTTCTAGACTGTCATACAGTTAGGAGGCACTGGGAATGCTGCGCTGCACTTATGATGTGCATTCATGGTAGCCATCTGTTTATCTGCTGTGGGGCTGTCTTGACACACCCCAGGTGTCTTAGTGAAGGGTAAGTGGGACAAACAGTGACAAGATGAGCTCACTCAAATTGCAAATAGTGGAGAAGGGACTCACAAGTGCTCAATCTTAAGAAAATATATTTAATCATGAAAACAAGTTCATTTAATCTGGCATTTGAGAAACCCAGGTTTATCTTTACAGCAGAAGCTGATTTTTAGAGGAGTCTGAGTCAGTGAGGAAACAGCCTGGGGAGATGCTTCTGCTCAAAATGGAGGAGAGCACATGGGACCTTTCATTTCACAGTGGACTCTCGTGGGCCTCACAGAGGCAGTCGCTTTGAAAAAACATTTGAGAGCTCCAGTCTGCTTTCCTGGGTGCTTTTTAACCCTTTGATATACAAACCATTGTCTTCTCAGCACTTTTTTCCTTTGACTGTAACAAGCTCCCCAGTCAGGCACTCACATTCCATTCAATTCTTACTTGCTTCCATCAACTTAGTGAAATCACTTTGCGATCATTGGAAACTTGTCAGAAAACCCCTCTTTCAGAACTACACATGGCAAGAGATGTGAGGGTCAAATGGAGAGGACGTTTGTTCAGTTCATCAAAAAGCCTTTCCATTCTGCAATGGTTTTGGGTCCCTACCACAAAACTCTACCCTACAGAGCGCTAAGCAATAAACACACTACCATAGACACTTATCACTGGAGTCATGCACTACCCACAGTGGGCAGAGAGGCTCTGTCCTTATCTGTCAGAAGAGGGGGTTACCAACCAGTCAACTAAGTACAAACATCAATGCCATGTGCCAAGGGCTGGAGCACATGCAAAGGCAGTCCCTGCCCCTGAAAGAGGACACAGTCTAAATGGAAGATACAAAAGTAAGAAAATCGGTGACAAACCCATGGCCAAGGGCAAGCAAAGACTGAAAGACACAGTTCATTTGCTGTCACCCAGCTAACCCTTGGGCATTAGTTTGCCTTTGGGTACTGTGCCAACACTGGGACTACAGCAGTAAGCAAGATACTGCAGGCCTAACTCTTGACATTTACATCTTGGTTGGTAGAAGTTGCCAATAAAGGTAGACAGATAAGCAGACATTACTACTTATAAATGAGCATCTTGAAAATAAATACTGACAAGGATAGAGAATGAACCAGACCCTGCTCAGGTACAGGGAGGTAGGGAAGCCCTAAGGAATGACATTTAGCCTGAGGCCAAAAGCTGGTAAGGAGCCTATGAGTGATAGAGGGGAATGCCAGTGAGAAGAGTCAGTACATGTGAAGGTCTGATGGCAGGTATGCATATAAGGACCTGCATGGAGGCCAGCATGTAGGGAGAAGAGTGGAGCAGAACACATGGGCACAGATAGAGGTGAGGGTCAGCAAGAAGACAGCAGAGTCTGATCAATGTTCTCTACAGTGTCTGGGTTCTCGGAGTAGTGATATAGGTCAGAACTGGGAGGAGAAAAACAAGGGCCGCAGAACACTTGAGAGACAGTGAAGGCAGCTGAAGCCAGGCGAGTGGAGAGCCAAAGAACTGAATGGCCACCAGAGCTGTCAGGAAGAACACAAGACGACCTCTAGATCTGAGTGTAAGAAGCACAACTTTATGGCAACGGGTGATTAGGACAGCTCCTCTCAGGTAGTAGAGGGTAGGTTCCAAAGCCTGGATAGTTATTGGGCCAAATATGGGAAGACAGACAAGAGAATGTAGAGCTGTATGCTACACTGGAGAAGAATGCATGTTTACAGCTCCAGAGCAGACTGGCAGGAGGAGGTGGAGTGGTGTCTAGCTATAGCTCCCATACAGAGCCTAGAAGATCTAGCTCTAAATGAATGGGCAAATCCTTGAATGAACCCTAAAATCTGGACCCCTGGGCATGTCCTTCTGCACAATGACAACTGGCCACACCCCGTCTTCCTCTCTTGATTCTCTTCCTGTTTCAGGGTCTCCTGGTCAAGGGTCCTGTCCTTGGCCTAAACTTTGAGCATCACCTGCCCAGCTCTGGGCTGCAAGATGGTACTTCAGTCAAGGAAGGCCAGATTGCACAACAGAGCAGCACTCTGTGCTGAAGAACCAATTGGAAGTGGGCAAGTAAGAGGCAGGCAAAGCAGACAACAGTCCTCAGGCTCCTGTGACCACTTGAGGGAGGCTCATGCCTAAGCATTCGTTCTATTTTCATGGTACAAACAAGTCACATGATAATCACATGCTGTGATAATCGCAGCATGTGAGCATCAAATATATCTGAAGGGTAATAGAAACCTGGGGTCCAAGAGAAGGGCACATCTATCACTACTAGGGAAAGTCCATGTGTTTGGCTAACAGCACAGTCCCAGGGCAGTGTGTAGATCCATCCGTAGGACTTGGGGAAGAGTGCTTCTGCATGATGGAAGAGTGATGGTTACAAAGGGACCCACTGTCCTAACTCCCAATTCTAGATGCACACAGGCCACCAACAAAAGGGTGGCAGCTCTCATAAGTGACACACAGCATTCAAAACTAAAGGTAGCAAGCAGCAAGGCTGAGGCACATGACCTCTGCTCAGATGTGCACCCTAGCCTGGTGCTCTTCCATCGGTCAGGCTCTACCTGTTGTTCTAGATAGAGTGTGATGACAAACTATTTTTCCTGATCCCCTCTGCTGCACTTTGAAGAGGCGAGGACAGAATTGCGCATCTGTCAGGCACTCTGTTTGCATAGAATCATTTGAAAACAAAATGAAGTTGTAGCTGAATAATGTGATGACTGCTGCAGGACCTCATCAGGGAAACTGGACTTAGTGCCAGAATGCTATCAGGCTGAGGGCGTGCTTCTGTTTCTGCTCCCTATTCCTTGTCTATTCCCATAACTCCCCAGTTCCCACCTTGTGCTACAGACAGGCTCCCTGTCAGGCACTTAAGAGCCTGTTGCAAGGCACTGCATTAGCTAATCTGTCCACTTAAACCTAAAGTTTATATGCTGTAAAGTTCCCTCTTTAGCTTTTAAAAGGCGGCTATAAATGAGCTGTGCTTAATTCTCCCTTTCTACCACTAATTCTTTTACATCTTTACTAGAGGACAGAGCCCCAAATCACATACTCTGCTCAAGGAACTTTATCAGGCCTGTTAGTCAGCATTTACTTTAAGACACTAAAAAGTATAAAAACGCCCTCAGTGCCCATTATCACTTTCTCCATCAGTGGACTTTGTGGCTCTAATTGAAAAGAAAAAGGCTGGCCCACGCAGATGGAAGCAAATGCGTCTCTGGTGCACAGAAGTGAGGAATGGTGGACGACAGGGATGCTGACAGTTTAGTTGGAGCTGTAATTTGGTTTGGGCCTCAGAAAAACATAGTAAATTAAAGAGTGACTTACTCGTTCTTGTCCAGCTGTATCCCAGATTAGGAATTTATGTAGCTCATTTTGGTACTGGACAGTCTTGGTCATAAAAGATGCCCTATAAAGAGAGACCTAAATGATCAGAACACAGTCATTTAACACCCGTGTCCAGCCCCAATTGGAATCATCACTTAGATTTGCACTCAGACTCCCAGTTCCCCACTACATCCTCACCAGGTCTCTCTGGAGTATTCAGGGATGGTCAGACGCTGGCTGCAGCTTCTGTCAAAATAAAGTATTAGGCACATCTGCCTGACAGAAGAGGAAGCCTGAGTTCCACATCAAAGAACTGAGATCCAGTAAGCTTCCCTTGTAAAACTCACGGCGCTGTCACTCACACAGGTGGGTGTCACAGGAAAGCTTTCTTTAAAATAAGGCTTATTTTATCACTGTGTACCCACGCACTCTTACCTGCTGAACCATTTCACTGGCCCCACGAGAAAGCAGTCTAAAGACCACCATGCTCAGGAACCTGTGCACTAGTCAAAGCAACTCAGACCATTTTGAGTTTCTCTTCCAGTTCTCAAACCACGTGCCACATAAATAGCCAAGTAAGAACCAGGGTAACACTGGAGTTCATAGAATTATGATGCCAAAACAAAAGAGGACAAGGATGGCTTCTGGGACAGCTGAATCAAGGTGACAGTGACCTCTGTACTGGATGATCACTGCTTCTGGAACATAAACTTCTCACCTGATGCTCAGCGTCTGCCATGGGACAGACATTTCCCAACCGGTTACACTCCGTTTCTGCTATTTGGGGGCCTTAGGCATTTTGAAGGACTGTGAAACTACCAGGTGCCTGTGTGTTTCTGAGAAGCCCCAAGGCCACAGCACAAACCTGCCTCTCTCAAGTTCTGGGGTGCAGGCCTGGCTCCGGTGTTGCTTTCTGTCTTCTGTGGAGATTCTTGTCTTTCCACTTTGCTTCAAAGGACTCAGAAATGGCCCTTTGGGGTAAACAACCAAGTTGTGTATTTTTAAAAGGTGTGTTTGTTTCCCTTTGTAGCCTAGGCTAGCCTTGAAATCACAATCCTGCCTTAGTTTCTGAGAGTTGAGATTTAGGTATGAGTCAGCATGCCAAGCCCGAGTTGTACTCTTAAACTACACCCCAATCACTGCAATCTAGACAATGAACTCAATGGGTAGACATTCTCAGACATGCGAGAGAGCCTTAATCAGAGGTGATCTTCAAGAGAGTGCATTAAGAGGACTTCTGGAAGAATACTGAGCTCCTCAAGAATCAGAATTCTTAGAAACACTTATGTAAATTCATGGCCCAGCAGGCAGCCTCCCAAATGGCTGTTAGGGATGGAGAGTGAGAAGCAAGACCTGGCTACTGTGGGTGCCATCTGCTCCATGGAGCCCCAGGGAAAAGCTTTGTGGTAAAGGTTCTTTATAAAGTTCAAGTGTAAGGAGCTTTTGGAGAGTCACTTTGACTAAATCAGGGTGTGCAACAGGATTCCTCACTTCGGAAAGATCTGGCAGTCAGAAGCCACAGTATTGGAGAAGACGAAGAGAGAAGACAGGTCTATACAGGTGTTATTGGTCAGAGGCAGCTCAGGAAATGTTCAGTCAAAACTCTCCAACATGTCCTCAAAGATTGCCACTCAGTTCTCATCAACTGCACTGTGGTGTTACATGAGCATGACATCAAGTGGAGCAGACAGACGGTGACTGGAGGACAGAGAGGCCAGGCTGTACTCCTGGTGGACAGAAAGCTGAGGAAGGAAGATGCAGGGATCAAAAGTTGTTTCCTTAAGCTCAGAACTCATGCCAAGTCCAGCCTGCCTCCAACCAGTTTCCTTTAATGAAAACAGGCTTCCATGAGTAAGAGAACACAAACACAGTAATGAGGTCTGCAGTGACTAAAAAGAAGCCCCAGCACCCACACAGCTCTCACTGTACATCCTCCCAGGCTACCCACAGCTCTTCCTCTGTAGCAGGACACTGTCTGCAGCTTTTCTTTGCTGTCCTGGAACTTAGCCAACAATTACTGTGGTTGCCCACAGACTACTTGGCAGTCCATTACACACACACACACACACACACACACACACACACACACCATTACAGCATAAAGAACAAGTGTCACTCATACGTAGAGGCAGATAAGGCTCTGCTCTAGCTTGGCCAGAATGCAGCAGAAGGAAGTGGTGCAGCAGGGCAGGAGTGCCTTGTTGAGGGTCCTACCTGCCTTGTGCTCAGTTACCAGCCTCAACTCCTGTACTAGCTGCAGGGGTCAAGCAAAACCTGCGATTGCTGCAGACACTCATTCTGCTCCCCCACTACAGTGGCCTTTGCAGTTCATTAGGAAGAAGTCATAGTACCGTATGGGGTTTGTCTGTTGCTCTCTCATGGGTTGAACCAGGAGCCTCTTCCAACCTCCTAGTCCCAGTCTGTCACTCTCTCACCTCTCCTCCCTTGAGCTCCATCATGGTCTCTCTACTTTATAGCACCAAGCATCGCATACCTGTTCACTGTAAGAGAGTGAAATACTGATTGACCTCAAATCACTTCATCCCTGATACACAGGTTTGGTTTCCTCCTGTAGTAGCAGTACTACAGATCAGAGTCAGACTTGGGAGTAACACTACCTGCTGCTTCTCTCAGTAGTCCTTGCTAGGTTCTGGCTAGCACTAGGACAGAGGTTGTCTACCAGACTCAACCATAATTTCCTGCCAAAGCTATAGTGCTGTCTACTGAGGACAGCACTTTTCAAAATTGAACTAACAACAGACGCACATTATCACAGAACACAAGTGTCTAACCCCACATTGGTCCCAACTTCTAAGTTGTCAGTCACAGACACCAAACCTTCCTTTAACACCATGTGATTATACCTGTCTTTTATTAACTTGCATCCAATTTTGTAGTAGAGTTGTCTGGCTCTTCATTTTATATTTAATCTACATCCAAACCTTGGCCCCTGAAATAAATTCATATATTGGACCCCTAATCTTGGGGTGACTTTACTCCAATTATCTGCCACCATTACTTCAACTCTAGGATCACTCCTTTAATGTTCAAGTTAAATGATCCAGAGGGTATGACAGCTTCAGTGTCTTGCATTTGAAAAACAGGCACTGGCTCCCTGCCATTCAAAGGATACATTTCTATTTCCCAGCCTGCCATTTACTTGTCTGAGAACCTTATTTTTCACTACTAAACTGTCTCTCTTCAGTCTGCCTAGGCAGATCTTATTACCTCTTTAATCTAAAATCCCTACTAGCATTATTTCCTAAAGCTAGAACGCCTTTCATATGCTTCTCCATTTTTCATGACATTCTAAAAATATGACTCTCACGCACATCAAGCAGTCACGATCTTTGGTCAGAGTACGAGTTCCCAATGAAAATACTTGCTACAAGGTGTTTTAAAATCGTCTCTTCTTTAACTTCAGCAACTTGTTTAGCTCTCCTGGAATACTGCTGTGCAATGACATCATCGCAGACTGCCTCCCTTGAGACCTTTCTGGGCTCCTGAGGTGCAGTCACCCCCCACTGTGCATTCTGAAGATGAACAACTCAGTACATCTTTAAATGAACAAAAGGCCATAACTTGGATCTCAAGGTTAAATGTGCCGATGACACACTGCCAGGCACAAACCAAAATGGACGTGAAGAGACAAACACAGATGACCCTTATAGGTCCTCTAACAGAGACAGCAAAGGTCTTGGGAAGGTGTAGGGCAGTGCAAAGACCGTTTGGGGCTCTGAGAATTTGCTGAACAGAGAGAACATCTGTCTAGGGTAAAGTCTTTAAAGCCTAGATGTTGTTGCCTGGGCATGGTGGTGCATGCTTATAATCTGGGAGACTAAGATGGGAAGGGAGTATCCACAAGTTCCGTGAATGTACATACATCCTCCAGTGATAGACCTCTCACCATTTCCCTTTACTCATCATCTGAGCCTAGCCATGCATAAAGACTAGCTGGCCACACTATCGCTGCCACCCATTCACATCAGCAGGCACACAAAAGGTTGTTCTCTAGGGTCATGTTAAATCCACACAAGCTCTTTATATTCTCTACCTTGGTCACATATTCAAAATAAATATTGAAAATCTAAGAAAATATTTATTTAAACAGAAAAATATCGAAAGAGTTTTGCTTCTCCTTTCCTATAACTTTAAGAATAACTTATAACCCTTTCACATCATAAACAAAAAAATCAACAATAACAACAAAACTAGCTGCTTCAGCTAAGAGTTGACTGCTGTCATATCCTCTTCCTATCTGTTCATGTGTAAACCTATTTAGCTGGACTGTGAGCTTTTGGATTGTGAGCCTTCATCATCACTGCTCAGGACAGAGCCATAAATGGGACTGCTGGGATCCAAGGGCAGCCAGTAGGATCCCAGATGTCTTTTCCAACACCTGGGCTTCCAAAGTCTTGTACAAACACTAACTGGTAGGCAAAAGGGGTAACCACATCACTGCCTCTGAGAAACCCAATTGAGAGGGCTGGTCCCAGGGACAGAAATGTACAAGACAGCTGTTCTTGAGATATTCACACCAAGGCTCTCTACAAGAGCAACCATGAAGGGCCAGGGCCAGAGAAGGTGATGTGAAGATGGAAGGAGAGAATACAGTGATGGGCCTTGAAGATGGCAGAGGAGGCAACAAGGCATCGTAGTCACTAGAAACTGTAATAGGCAAGACAACAGGCTCTCCCCTCAGAACCTAGAAGGAAGCAGCATGGCCGACACCCTGAGCTTAGAGTTAGGGAAAGCTGATTTGGGACCTCTGATCTCCTGGACTAGAGGTGAAAACACCTGTGTTCTTCAAGGTGCTGCAGTGATTGGTCACAACAGCTGGGGGAGACGAACACATGCAGACTTTCTGAAGAGTAAGGGAAGTTGTTCCTGGAAGTCAAGGAGGGACAGTGTAGATAGTGGAAAGAGCAAGTTCATATCATAGAGAGCAAACTTGGGCCAAAGTAGAGCACTAAGAACACAGCAGCAGCCCTGCCTGAGCTGGGCTAGACAGGGTGGGGTGGGTTCCGTGTTAGGAGGCCACAGAGAAGGCTCTGGGCAGGAAGGCACTGGGGATGAGGGCATTCTGTGAGCTAGTGCCCCTCTACAGAGGTATCTTTCTGCCGTGGTCGCACTCTGTACTACTGATGAGGGCACATACTAACAAACTACTCCCTCTTCTGAAACCAAGCTATGCCTAAGCATGGTGTTGGTAAAATCAAGTACTTGCAGGTTTCGTAGATGAACTT